GTTGTTTATTTACTTTAAAATAACGTGATAAAGTCTTCTTTATTTTTCTTTGTTTCATTTGTTATTATTAACCTGAACTGCTGGGTCGATTTTTTTGTATCTTCATTTGGACGCAGTTCAGTACTTATATATGCCATGATTGCGTTATTGTGTTATGGTAATTTTTCACATTCTCGGATTTCATTTATGCTTTTGAGTTGTATGCCATTTTGTTTTTCATTGTTAACATATTTGTTTGCTTTTATAGTGACTAAGTTTATAACACAATGATCACTGCTGTACACCTATTTTCTACATTTTTACCTGTTATGTCTTTAGTATTGTTCACAGATAGTTGTCAATATAATTGAATTTGTATGAGACTTTCATACAAGTGAGATGTGTAGCAAGCTTTAAAACCTTGTTCGATACGCAATTTTCTACATAAATAATTGTCTGTATCAGGTCAGCAATATATCAGTTTTTGATTCGTTTTACGTGTATTCGGTTTTGATTTTGCCTTTAATAAGGGACATTCTGTTCTAAATTTTCGAAGTTCGGTAAAAAAGAGGGACAAAAGATACCAGCGGGACAGTCAAACTCATAGATCGAAAACAAACTGACAATGCCATGGCCAAAAATAAAAAGACAAACAGACAAATAATAGTACAGATGACACAACATAGAAAACTAAAGACTAAGCAACACGAACCCCACCAAAAACTGGGGGTGACCTCAGGTGCTCCGGAAGGGTTAACAGATCCTGCTCCACATGTGCCACCCGTCGTGTTGCTTATGCTATTACAAATCCGGTAAAAAGTCTAATTCGTTATTTTCTTTAATTCAATGTAAAAGATGAGCCACTTCTATCATGTTTTGTATATTAATATGTTTTAGTAAAAAAAAAATTAGTGATAATTTTCGAATAGTTCTGCATGTCTTTAAATAACAGAGAAAAGTCTACTGCAATACGCATCTCTATATTCTAAATATTTTATTCTGATTGATCATGTTGAATTTTTTTTTAAGGAAGAGAATGTCCTTATGGTTCTAGAAAGTGTAGTGATGACTATCGTTGTATTAATGAAGAACTGTGGTGTAATGGACGTAGTGATTGTTCAACGGGAGAAGACGAAGATACTGATATGTGCTTACGTAAATATAAATCTCAGTTATCTTGATTATAAGGTGTCGTTTTTGTAAACAGTGTTATAAAAACTGAATTACTATGCATTAACTCTTTAGCGTGAAAGAATTTAAATAAATAAAAAAATACAACATATTAAAACTAGTAAAATATCTAGGTGAAAATCTTCTATTTAATTAGTTTGTCATAGTGTCACGTACTGTCTAAACGAACAATTGTTTTCATTTTTATTGCATATCCAGCTAAATAGATTGCGCTTGATACACAACGAACAGCTTCATCCGCATGTTAGAAGTAGGTTTTGGTAGTGGTTAATGAAAAATGTTGTATATGTTTGATTTTTTAAAACACAAGTTTAAATATTTATAATTTTCTGTATGAGTAGGTCTTATTGGTCCGTTAATGGCCGTCTCTATTTAGTGTATGGTGAAAACAATAAATCGCAAGTATCTGCGAACCATCGTTGGAATAATATTTGTTATTTCATTTTTTTTTTATTTGAATAAATACTGCTGTAAAATGACATCATTTCAGATATGTTCAATCATGTCTACACATAGATTTCCTATAACATGTAAAATATATTCTCCCTTTCCAAAGTTCATTTGAATACTTCTGTTGTTCTTTCTACCGCTGCCTACCCCTTTTGGTAGGTTGATCATCAGATAAGAAGTCAAATAAGGTTCCAACTCCCTTAAATAAATTTTATTTTACATAATTTGGATTTTAGATTAAATCTGAATTAATCAAACAGCTTTCGTGTATTATTAACAGACACTACACTTACTGACAAAACTGTGACAAGATTTATAAGAAAGCGAAACTGTATTCGTCTGAAGAATATATAACATGATTAGCACTGCTCTGTTTCTAAAAAGCCATGATTTGTAGACATATTACAACTTAAGTATGTTGAGATAGCAAATATTACATTAACTTGTAAACAATCACTTGTTTTAAATATTTACCGTAGGATTAGTTAAAATATTGTCATTATCAAGTGGCCAGATCTAAAGGTGTTTGAACAAAGAGATGTCTTCAAAAATGTGTACGGCTTCCGATTGAAATTCGGAGAGGCTTGCTCCTTTTGCTTAAATAATGAGTACTAAAATATAAGTAGCTTGGTTTATTTATTTAGTCATTTAATAATATGTGTATCATGAAGTGAATACTTTTTCAATTTCTGATGTATAATATTTTAGGACGATCTAGTGTTCATCCATGTACGCCATGTTAATGTTTCAGGCACTATTAATGACAGATTACATTTGCCAACCACAACAAGGATGATCTAAAATCACCGTATTATCATTTATTCTGCATACTATCCTTCGAGATAAACGCTGACGTTTTACTCCTCCCTTCACATATAAACATTCGCATTAGTCATATTTTGTGAAAAAGGTTGAAATGTATTGTTGTCAATGCTCTTCAGGCAAAAATTATATTGCAGTGTCTAATGGACAACATTCACGACATAAACACTATTTTTGCGATTGTCTCTTATATATTTGAAACAGTAAATATGCTTTTGTTGTAGATTATGAGTGCCTTCTCGGATTTGTAAAATGCAAAGACGGGCTGCAGTGTATTCGTTTTTTTGACATGTGTGCTTGGTTTTGGAATCATTCCAGGACTGTTTGTAAAGATGGTTCCGATACTGATACAGATTATTGTTCTAGTATAATGATTTACCTTAACAAGATTAATTATAGAAATCAAACGTTAAATTTAATCATACTTTTCGATTATTATTAACATGCAATGTGATATACAAATCACTAGGTATGCTGCTACCCAGACCTTATAAAATGTCAGCAGTATATGAGCAGAAAGTTGATGGTCAAGGGTTATGTTAAAGAACGTATCGTCATTTTTCTGAAAAGGTCATTTGTCTGAAGATACCGAAATCTTGTTGACAAATATACCGTATCAACTTCACAAATAATACATGATGGTATTGACGTATATATTCTAAGTACTGACGTTCTTTATCATCTTTATCATAATACCATGGTATTTTGTTCTTTTATTTGTCTTTGTTAATTATATACCTTTCCGCTTTAGTCCATTTTCGGTAATAACCTTTTGTCTTGGCTTGGTACTAATGCATCTTGCCAATGTTTTGTTGTCTTGTGGTAATTTTTAGTATTCTTGCTTATCGTGTTTGCATATGTGCTTTGTCTATATGTCATTTTGTTTTCCTGCGATGACATATCTGTTTGTTGTTATACTGATTAAGAGTATTACACAATGTAGAGTGCTGTTCCCCTATTTTTGACATTTTTCTTATTATGTCTTTTTGTTTTGTTCACACACTGTTGTCAATATAATGGAATTTTATGCGACTGTCATAAAAGTGAGAGGATCGGTTAGCCATAAAACCCAAGTTCAATCCACCATTTTCTCAATAAGGACATGCCCGTACCAAGTCAGGAATATGATGGTATGTTTCCTTTCGTTTGATGTGGTTGAGCCTTTGCTTTTACCATTTGATGAGGGAATTTCCAATTTGAACTTTCTTTGGAGTTTGGTATTTTTGTTATTTTACTTTTTTTCGAAACCTTTCCTACTTATCAATTGAAACACAATTATACAGCTCTGATTGACCCAGTCGATGATTATTCTAGGCAGAAGTAATCATCTAAATGAAATTGCATACAAACGCAGCATTTTAAAATAGAATACATGTATCATATATTACATGAGGAGAGGTTGTATGATTACTAATGAGACAACTATCCACCACGGCTAAGTGGTTGGAGTGGTTGTTAGCAGTTGAAGGCAACTGTACGGCCCTCAATAATGAGAACAATTCATACCGTATAGCCGGCTATAAAAGGCCCTGCCAAAAAAAAAAAAAAAACAAACAAACGAAAAAAATGGAAAAAACTAACGGCCTAATTTATAACAAATTGATTTATGAAGAACAATTATGACAGACATGAACCAACGACAACAGCTGAACTGCAGGCTTCTACGTAAGTCTCTGGTAAAAGATAAACATTTTGTTTTCATTGATAAGTAGTTTCAAACAGAGTGAAAAGCATTCGTCTTATATTCCGATTATTTATAGGCCATTTACAATCAAAACAAGAAATGTACCATTACATCGGTCTACAAATGTTGTCCGTTTATTCATGTCAGCTTAATGTTGATTTAGAAGTATTCTTCCGAGCATAATGCAAGATGCCAATTGACCACATACAAATTCCGTATTAAAAATTTAGTCACAAATGTACAAAAAACGATGCAATAAATGACGGAAGATCTAACTTATAATTTTGAATTGGATAGTTTTATATTTCGAAACACGATTGTCAATCATTCAACTGTCGAATAGCAATGTAAAAAAGTAAGAATTGCAAAGTAAGAATTTTAGACCTACCGAGTAACGTAGTACATACAACTTGAAAATTGTACAGTTGGAATTATTAAACCTCTAGCTTTCTATATAACACGTCATTAGTCTTTTGTAGCTGTGAACAAATAATGTAATAAGAAATTGTCCAAAACAGCTCATGTAAATGCACAGCTGATAAATACAATGACATATTAGGGATTAGCATGCTAAAGACCCAGGAAGTTGGTAATGAGGAATAAACAATATTTGCAGTTTTTGTAATAGAGCGTTGTAGTCAATCACACAGTGCATGTGTTTTGGTGTTGCCAGGCCATCATTTTATATGTTGAGTAAATTTGATAGATAAGGGTAATATACATATAGTTGCTAGAATTTCATTAATTAAATATAATACTATAAAACTTATTCTGCTACCTGTCACTAAATGCGAATTTAACTTGCATGATTCTTTTGAACTGTTTTGATGTTTCAATCAAATAATTTATTTCGTGGTTTAATATTGTAGCTTTCGAATGTCCCATGTATATGGAAAAGTGTCCTAATGGTCATGAGTGTGTACATCATTCAATGGTTTGTTCTGGAGAACAGATGTGTGATGGCGAGTCAGAAGATGAAAAAGAACTATGCACAAGTAATTCATTAACTAATCTGTTTTTAATAAGACAAATGGTTTCTATCGTTACAAGTAGGAGGTTACAATGCATATACTATTTCACATTTCACGGTTGTCAGAAAAGAGTTATGCCAATAACCAGACATTCATTAATAATCAATTTATTGCTGAAGATAACAAAACAGTTTAAATAGTTACAATATTAAGTTAGTACGAATGTATGCATTGCCTGTCTGGAATTATATAACTAATTCATAGTCCCATTGCTATTTTGCAAGTTCAAATACAAATGATAAATTGGCAGTCATTTCATAGCATATTTATATTATGTCCTGATTTGTGCATAAAAGTCTGCCTTGCCTGTTATTGCACATTTAAGCGCGCTTGTTTCCGAAAGTTGGGTAGCAATTTAAGACCAAGTAATTTTTATTTTAGCAACAGGCAATTATGTCCTCCTTTCATTATTTCATATATTTATATCAAACATTCAACACTAGCTATATGTTTTACATTTTGACCAAGTTACAGGCATCCATAGGTAATATTTTCTTAAAAATAACATTATGCATGTACTACTTCCGTGTTCTATTCTTGACAACTAAATCCGAATAAAGGTTGTTTATTTATAAAAAAAAAAAAAAAAAAAAAAATTCTTATATTGATTTCTTTTTTACTTAATGTCATTGTATAATCCATTTCTAACAGCCAAAACTATATAAAGGTTTTGTCAAAACATTTTGTCACTTTATATAAGGTCCAACTAAACTGATAGCATCATATTTATTATCCAAGCTAAATGAATTGGGATAATAAGAATGACCACTTTTACACTTTTTCTATTAGGAGCACTTCAAGTTTGTTTGTTAACATCCACTCAAATACCCATCTTCTTACCTATCAGTCATTATATTATAAGAATGTGTTTAAATATAATTACGTATTATATAAACGTTAAGATAGAAATTTAAAAAAGCAAAAAATGTTAACAAGAAGAATGACTTATCATTGAAATTCTTGTTCGTTACATGTAATAAATATGATGACCAATATCTAAGATTTCGCCCATTTTATTATAATTGATAAGTTTATAATTTCTCTATTAAAAAAGATCAACAGGAGATGATCGGGATCTACCTTTGAAACAAACTCATTATAGAAGTGATTGCCCATATTCGACAAGTTGTAAAACTTAATTTGTGTTTTGGGCAAAAGCTTAAGATGCCAGAAAGAACATGTAACAAATTGTTATAGCAGCAATACAAGATCAACATTGGTGATGATGTTTTTTTTTATAATAGTCAAAGATGAAGTGATTCCATTGTTAAATATGTTCATTGATCAAGGTAACTTAGTGACCCAGACTTTTTGAAGCCTTTTGTTAAGAAGAACCTTTAAAACCAATATATGTGTTGTGATTCTCTTAGTATTAATATTTTTAAAAAAGAGAGAGTATCAATGTATGTCGCATCTCAATTATTAAACATTGATTTGTTCGAAATGCTAAAGATATTCTATGGAGAATCAAGTATGTTAGGTGTATTTGGATAACTACACGTAATGTGTGGTCCTCTACGGCCTACTCATTTCCTTTTTTATTCCATTGTCATGGATGATTCTTTTTTTTTAAACAAAGCGTCTGAAGAACCGTATTTTTCTACACGGCTGTCTACTTTTCCGGGACTCATATGATTTAATCCAGTTTTCAATGGGGTTGTTCGGTCTCACATTAAGTTGTCTATGTATTGTTGTTTAGACTGTTGTTTTTCTTTGGTCATTTTTTGTTTGTTCCATTGCGTTTTCCGTTTGTCATCGAATGATCAGTTTTGCTATCCCTTTAGTATTTAATGACATACTTCCTTGGTTTTTATCTTTTAGATATGTTTCTGTCCTTTTCGTATGCGTGATACAAATATATAATTGATGAAACAGGAAAATCGTCATGTTTACTTAATGTTAACTGTACACTGGCAAATTATTATTCATGGTAATGGGTATATTGAATATTAATCAGTTGTTGTATAATTACAGCACACAGTTGTGGTGACTTCAAGTCGAAATGTGATAATGGATACCAATGTGTGCTCGATGCCAAGAAATGTGACGGCTCCGTAGATTGTGCAGATAGTTCAGACGAAAATCCAGACTTGTGTGTAGAGAGTATGTACTCGTATATCGCATGAATCATTGTTTTATATCATATTAATTACAACTATACAACATAATCCAACTAATAACAATGTTTTCTTTTATCAAACATTACATAAGTTTGTTTCCTTTTCATATGTTTCATAGTACGTTGTGTTTTGTGTACCCAATCATATATATAGATTGTCTTTGTTTCATGCATATAACATATCATTAGAGAATAGAAATTAATCTTAAAACATGTTTCTATAAGATAATTTCTTTGCTTCAGGTAAACTACAACATAAAGACGTACGATCACTAGTAGTTGCATGCTAAAATAGTATATACATATACGAAACATTAGTTATAGTGTTGTGTAAAATAGAACATGCATTAAAACGCGAAAGCAACATGTCTTTTGAATAAGAAGTACATAAATCATTGTTTTTGTTGTTTGGTTTGACAAACAAAAAAATTATGGAAATTGGATTTAACTGATTCTTTTTCCTCTTTAAAATTAAAAAAAAAGAGTGCAAAATGTTCATCCAGCTTCTATTAAGTCAGGTTATTCTTTGATATGCAATGCATTTTTAGATTATTAACAGAGGTACCAGAACATGCAGAGGAGATTGGAAAAAAGTAAAGGATTATTTTGTTTTTATTAGAAAAGAATGACTCAAAGTAACAAACGTTATCACACTGTTGGTGTTTTATGTAGGAATTTAATTAATAGAAGTATCTGTATTTCTAAAACTTAACATCTTCACAAAGTCATTATTTACAGTATTATGATATATCATGATATATAATCAGTTTTATTATGGTCTTCGTTATTTAACGTTTTATTGGCAAGTCGACACTCACTTAGCTTTTTAGATCAAAGAACCTAAAGTAATGTACAAGTCTCATTAGCTGTCCAAGTAACACATCAAATCTATTATTTTGTAAAACCTGTTGACACTTTGAACTTAACATTCAAATCAGCTTGTTTGACAAAAGGAATACGAATATTGTGTTCAATGTCTAGTCAATGTGAAACAAAAAAATTGTAAAATGGTGTATTGGTGCTTCTGTTTAAATTGTCGTCGATACTTGAACCTACTTAACCTAAATGTGTTCTCCTCTGTCATACCTTTAAATAAACCTCTCATGAAAAGACATGTGATATCGGAATAGGACAACCATTTTAAGAGTTTAATTGGATATACTTATTCTAATTTCTTTACACATTTTTTTTTGGAGATCGCACCTGCCCAGTGGGAATGGTGAAATGTGAAGATAATGTTCAGTGTATTTACGAAATGCAGTTTTGTAGTGCATATCCTGACTGCAACGATAAGTCGGATGAAAACCCGAAGATTTGTACAAGAGGTAATATAAATTGCTAGTTTGTGTATGCAATTATAGTAATGTATAAGGTTAAACGCATAGTAGTGCGTCTTTTTCAGAATAATTGCAGACATATATAGTGAACATTGAAACTGCCCTCGTATATCAAGCACGGACATGCTTGTGTTTGTCCTCCTTGCTTATCTCTTATATCTATTAATAGCAATATACTCACTTAACCTGCATATGGGATATACATTTCCCAACTCATTCATTAATGAGCGTGCAGCTGGTAGTCAGACTATTTAAAACGTCATCAGTGTCTGAGCAGAGAGTTTTGTCAAAGAACTCTAGTCCTTTACAAAAAGAGAATCGGAAGATAACAATACCTTGTTGATACATATTTCGTATCAATTTAACAAATAATATATGATGGTGTTGAATTATTCATTCTAGGTAGTAACGTTGTTTATCATCTTATTTTAGTGTTTATATAATACGTGACTTTGTATTTGTCTTTTTATGTTTTCAACCATTACTATTAAGTCTATATTTTTGTAATATAATTTTGCGTAGCTTGTTATTGAAATATGCCGCCATTGTTTGTTTGTGCTATATACATTTTTGTATTCCTGTCTCTCTTTTTTGCCTATATACTTGACCACCAAGTGTGTGTATGCTATTTTGTTTGTCTTCGTTGAAATAGTTATTTAACTTTATTGTGATTAAGAGTAAAACACAGTGCTGACTGCTGTACCCTAATTTTAGCGCATAAATTATGTTTTCTGTATGTTTTTTTACCAAGTCTATGTTAATTTGGTTACAAAGTTCCTTTAGTGTAAAGTGTGTGTTTCCTTTTTTATGTAATTGTATCAATATACAGATGTTATGCATTGGCTGTTTGAAAAAACATAATATATGTATTAAGAACGAGAAAAACTATCGAGTTTTTAAATATAATATGGTATAAATCTAATGTTAGTACCAGCGTATATGCGTAGAGACATTTTCGAAATAAATATGTATTATAGGTTGAAAAAAAATATATAGCATGATTGGTATGGGGTGGATTCGTGTAATGAGTATATGTTTTTGACACAACTTTTAGATACAAGCTGAATCTTAGCTTTGAACTAAAATGGCCATGTTATTGCTTTAAAAGAGTTCAAAAAACATATATTAAAATTGTGAATGAAAATTGGGAATTTGTCAAAAAGACAACAACCCTTCCGAAGAGTAGAACACAGCCGAAGGCCACCAAAAAATCATCAACAAAGCATGGAAATTCTGCAACCGAACGCGTTTTACAGCTGACCCCTTAACATGAATGTGTACAGGTTCAGTGAAAATCGACGTCATACTAAACTCAAAAACATACAAAGAACTTAAATATACAAAAAACACACGAGAATACCATTGGCCACTTGTTTATACTTAACAAATTGTTTCACTTTCATATTGTTTTGTATCATTATTATTAGGACATCATATATAGTGTGTATATTCTATGCATTCGGTATTAAAACAGTACTAAACACCACTTATTTTTTTGCAGACAGAGCTTGTCCCACTGGAATGTCTAGATGTTCTGAAAATGACCCGATGTGCATTCATGATAGTTGGTTCTGCAACAACCAACCAGAATGCTATCACAGAGCGGATGAAAATCCGAACAATTGCTTAAATCGTAAGAAGATGTTTAACTAAACACATGTGCACATAACTATGTTAACTTGCGTATTTTTAATTTACGCCATGCATAACATTCCTTGAATCGAACTTCTTAATTACCTTTTATGTTCAGATAGAGGTAGATTTGTCATATATCGATCTCATTTACTCACTGTGTTCGTTTAGATTAAATTGGAACGATAACAGGTGAAATTAAACTAAACAGGTTCACTTAATGTTTGCCTAGACATATGTATAATATATTTCAATGTTTCTCTTTCATTATTTAAAAAAAAAAGAAATGTAGTATATGCATCATATATCTGAGGAATGCGGTATAAGATTAAGACTTCCTCCTCTTTGTATATACTTTGGAGTTAGGTTTTTTGTTTAGACTTTCAACCCATCTTGTTCTTTGGAAAATGTCTGTTCAAAGTAAAAAATATAAAAAGTTGATTTTGTCAGGATGGAGGGATTTCGTCCTTTTTTTTATTAGAACAATTTTAAGCTTCTTGTGCAAAAGTTTATGTATACTCGTGAGAGCGTGATATGATATTATATAAATAACACATAGTTGAGAGGGTGATAGAGAAGATTGTTACCCCGAGAAGAAAAATCAACCGAGGCGAAGCAAAAGGGGTAACAATCTGCTCTTTCTGCTATAAGGATCGTTGCATGTAGTTTTGTAAATATCTATGTGTATTTTTGTCCGTTTTTTAATTTGGTTTTAATCGTATATCTTTAAATACTTTCAAACATCGTTTTTAATGTTTTTTGTAATAATGTCTCGTTGTAGTATACATGTACCAGGTATCGTTTAAAATTCAAGTATGGTTAGAAAAACAGAAATTATTTTTTTCATCTAAAAATGTTTAATAGTATTACAATAACTTGTTAATTTATCTTTACAGGTCCAAAAGGATCCACTAAGTTGCCGTGGGTAACATAGCTGGCAGTCGAATTGGATTTTTATTGAAGCCATCGCACTTAAGTCCTACGACAACAGACAATAATTGAATTGTGTGAAAAGTATTAAATGCCTTTATTGTATCTGTAAATAGTGGGGATAGCAATTTGGTTTGCATGAATCTTGTTTTGAGATGTTATCACCATATAATAAAATTATTTGCTATACGTCATGGAATTGTTCAATTTCTTCTAGGTTTATTTGTATCGTTAGTCTTGCCATTGGCACGTCTAAAAGGCCTTCATGAACATAAGAAATCAGCTGAAATTCATCTCAACTTTTATAGTTGGTTTTGTTTTCCAGAAAAAACACACAAGGTACAAACCAATCTACATGAACTAAAAAAAGTGAATAAGAATAAAACGTTTATGTAAGGAAATAAAGCTTTTTTTCAGTGTCAAAATTTTTTTTTTACAGTAGTATAATTTCGGCAATATGATCTCAGATTTGCAGTAACCCGAATTGTAGTTTATGCAAAGTCATGCCCAATATTGCTTTCTTTGTAAAAGCTCGAGGTTCGGACAAACATAATCTGCAATCATGAACAAATGCTTTTCCGATCAAACCTAAAAGACAATTTTTATTATAAATTTGAATTTTCACGGTACTTGTCTGAAAAAATATGTATACGTAAACAAGTGCCCTTGTTCAATGTTAATATTTTCCTGCAATCAACAATGTTATATTATCTTTTGTGTAAGACTTTTATATTTGATTGAATATATACTGATACTCATTTCAAATAATGACTCACTTCCACCATGTGGTTATCAGATTTCCTGGCTGACACTAAACAGACCTTAGACCAGTCCTTCCATATTTCGAAAATAAACGTACCATATACGATTTTTCTGCTATAAAGGGTATATAGTCGCTTCTTACAAGTCGATCATTAAGTTTCATAGTTCATGTTAGGTTCTATTTACAGATTAGTGCAACAACAACAACCTAGTAAATAAACTTTAGTCAGATTTGGCTTTGTTGATCTTATAATAAATAATACAACTTATAATATTGTTTAGTGTTACAACATGTATAAACAGGTCATTGAATCAAAAAGACAAAAATACCACATAAACAGTTGAAATCCATAAGTTCAAGAAAAGCAGACAATAAGAAAAAAAAAGAAATTACCTGAAAGATAAAAAAAAAAAAACATCCATACAACACTACAAAGAACACTTTAGTTAAGCAACACTGTCTCATCAGACACCGTTCTTTAACTCGTGTTCTTGGAAAATCTTCAGTCCCATGTTTGACTATGATACCAATGGTGTTGCTTTTTGCAAGTGAAAATGGAACGATTTAATAATAATCCTTATGTACATGATGTAAGTAAATAAACCGGTTTTATGACTTCGACTAATGTAACATGCCCAAGTTCACAAAACTTCCTTAAAGTTCATATTTTGAGATGATTTCAACAGGTTCATTGTGATCAGTAACACTCTATAAATGAAATAAAAGCATCAAGACTTGTTAGTGTAATGCCAAGTAAACGTCATTTTAGCAGGATAATAAAACGATGAATAGTTGTTTATAGATATATAACCAACTCGTTGAACTGCATCTAGACATTAAATATTTTAGGCTCGTAAGTCGCAAATGAACTGACAAAGCCATGACTAAAAAGGAATACAAGACAAACAACAGTACACAAAACACAACACAGAAAACAAAAGACTGAGCAAAACGAATACCACCAAAAACGGGGAGTGATCTCAGCTGCTCCAGAATGGTGAGTTGATCCTACTCCATATGTTGCATCCATTGGGTTGCTTATGCTAGTACAAACCCGCTGATAAGTTTAATTCAGAGGTCACATTGGGATACGATTGGACTGTATTGCAGCAATTGGAACATATCTTGTGTCATCTGTAAAAAGAGATATTCGATAACGGTCTAGGAACTCGTGATGACTTCTTTGTAATTAACGAAGGAAGATTTTAACTTTACCACATGTAACTCTTCGTTTAATAGCTTCCATGTGAGCAGCCACACTAAATCAAGGAAATCATGATAAGAAATACAAGTCCTGAAATATCGTGTGAACTGGGAGATAAATACTCTGTATATAGGTGCTGCAGGTATGTTGGTGCATAGAAATTAGAAATTCAAAATTGGTAAGCAAACATTAGTGTTGAAGTTGTGTTTAAAAGGCATCTTTTTTTTATATCGTAAGACTCACTGTAAAAAAAAATTGGAAATTACTTCAGACAAAATTGTACTCTCTACATAAATTTATTCCTTGAGATTTGTTACCTTCATATTCAAAAGCAATTACTAATGCCTGACACTATAACCATAATAGAACTCCAAATCCGACTGCGTTTGGCTAAGGATATACTTACAGAAAAAAGACATACTGACAATATCAGCACATGTAATTTTAATTATATCTTAAATTCGTGACACTATACAACGTAAAAGTATCGTCTTATTTGATATATATAGATATATTTTATTTCCAGGACAAGATTTTATTAAATCTACCTATTAGAAATCCCTGTTTGGAAGAATTCGAAAAAAAAAACGGCTGATACAGATTCAAAAGAATTATTGTTCATATAGTATGTAAAAAGTAAAATCACAAAAATACCGAACTTCGAAAAAAATTCAAAATGGAAAGTCCCTAATCAAGTAGGAAAATCAAAAGCTCAAACACATCAAACGAATGGATAACAACTGTCATATTCTTTACTTGGTACTGGCATTTTCTTATGTAGAAAATGGTGGATTAAACCTGGCTTTATAGCTAGCTAAACCTTTCACTTGTATGATAGTCGTATCAAATTCCATTATATTGACAACGATGTGTGAACAAAACAAAAAGACAAAATAGGCAAAAATGTCACAAAGGGGTACAGCAGCCAACATTGTCTTATATTCTTAATCACTAAAACACAAACAAATATGTATCAAAGAAACACAAAAAGGCATATAGACAAAGCAAATTAGCCAAAATGAAAGACAAAAATACAAAAATTATCATAGAACAATAACACAATGACGGAATGTACAGAGTAACGGCAAATGAATATCACTAAAAACAGACTTAACAGTAAAAGTAATATTCGTAAAGACATAAAATAGAAATAACACGTTATTAAGATGATAAGTGCCTAGAATCCATACTTCAAGACCATCGTGTATTATTTGTGAAGTTGATACGTAATATGTATCAACAAGGTCTTGTTCCTTGCGATGAACTTCTTTAGAAATGGACGAGACGTTCTCTGAAATACCCCCCTGGTTCATAAACTTTCTGCTCAGACACTGGTGACGTTTTACAAAGCCTTAGTGCAAGCTCTTGAATACCGAATAAATTGAAAAATGTATATCCCATATGCAGGTGAAGTTGGTATAATGCTACTAAGGTGGGGGAAATTGATAATTTCAAAATTAAAATCGTCTCGTTTGTCATAGATTATGGTACTGAGATGACAAGTCAAAAAATGAGGCGGAGAAGGCCGTGTCTGTTGTTTCTTTAATTTCTAGCTCTGGGGGATATATTAATGGAACCCAATCAGAAAAGTTAGGATTGTTGATGGAAAGAACATCATCAATAAATATGAATGTGAAATTAAATAACCTGGCTTATTTGATCTTCTTGTTTAAGACAAGTATCTGAATGAACTCCAATTCATAAAATAAAAAAAGGTCGGCAAGGAGAGGCGCACAGTTCGTTGCCATCGTAATGCCGACAATTTGTTGAAAAATTCTACCTCCAAATTCAACAAATATGTTGTCAATAAGAAACTCAAGCATACTGATCACTAGTTCCTCTGTGTAGCATGTTTTACCTTTTTGTTCACTATTAACAAAATATGCCGTATGGTATCCCAAAGTAATAATTGTTTAGTGAATGCTACCATTTTTATGTTGAATAGCATTGTGGATTATTTCTTGTACACGATTTTTTCAATTTCACATGGAGAATGGTTGTATACAGGGTTGAAAAATCAAAGGTTTTGATAGAACTAATTTCAGTAAAATATCGAGATTCAAAATTATCCAGAATTTCTTTAGAGTTTTTTAGAATCCACATATGGCTAATACCACTACGCGAGTAAACGATTTACCAGTATTTCTGAAGACTCATCGCGGACAGAATTTTTGTCAATCTGATGGACAATTCTTGTCGCATGATATGGTTTTGTATGTTGCATTACTTTAGTGCTCATCTATATTTAATTCTTTTACATACAAGGACCATATTATTTGAAGCTTTGTCCGCAGGAACAACAACATACTTATCATGAAGAGGTGAAAGACATTGCACAGTCTCTTTGTCTCTGAAAACGGACTTTGTTCGATCATTCACACAGTTTTTCAGCTTATGAATGCGACGTTTTATCAGAGACCTGATTGTTTTGACCAATTCTGACAAAATGTCCAGTTAAACTTCTTCTCGTTTAGCCCATGCTCTGGCGTAGTCCTTAACTGAATCCGTAAATATTTTGAAGTAATAGTTCCAATTGATGTATTGGGGTTCTTTATACTTAGAACCATTAGAAATCACCTTTCGAAGATTTTCATATTGAATTATGTTTAGATCCCCAGTAATAACATGGCCAGAGGAGCTTTGATTTAAAGACGAGTGGGAACAGTCACATGTCAGAGGTTTATTTTTTTGGTATTGTTCTAAATCAAGGTCCTGCAATGCTTGTATATAGTTAAATACTTTGGGTGCAATGGTTTTGGTGTAACTGTAGGATACAATAGGAACAGACTGATATGGAAAATAAATTGGAATTTTAGATGTTACCTCCTTGTGATGCAGAACGTTGCTGATATTGCATCAATTCCTCTATTGGTAAAGTGAACAGGAATGAATTTCCTGTTTTCCTCATATAAAGGTTCCGATCTTACTAGTTTAAAAAGACGGAAAAGAGCTACATCAAAAATTATAAGGACAAGTCGATATATTGGAGAAAATGTATTTATGCATCCTTTGTCAAGTGCATAATCTCTGAAACATTTTAAAATATTAACAGGCAGTGAAAAAAACCCAGAATATTTCTAATGTAATTTAACCCTAGCGGATGATGCATATGTGATAGAAAGTCATCAACGCTCCCCTAGGTCGATCTATATTTGGAAGACGTTTTTACATTAGGCCAATGGTAATGTTTTTCCCATGACTACGTAGGTGTCGTGAGGTAGTATTCA